CGATTGTGGTGTCATCATATCATTTCAATCATCGGCCGAGGCCTATGAAATATTATCCAACTAAAATACCGATTTAACATCATAGCCCGGATTTATTGGGTATCAAAACCCAACAATGTCCTTACACAATACTATTGCAATTAAATTATGTTTTAAATTAATCTTACCTTAGGTTTTGTAATATGTGGAGGGCAATAAGGGTACATTATAGTCTCAAAATTTGGTCTCCACCAGATAGCCATGCACTCACCTATCTGAAATGTTTGTTGCCAATAAAAAAAGAAGCATCTCATAAGGCAAAACACAGTAAATAATTATAAAAACTAGGAGAAAGGCCATGAGACAAGGTCTATCAAAGATCATAATCCCTCACGTAAAGAACATAACGTAAATATATACGGTCTTCAACCTTAAATCCAAGATGTATGCATCCAAGTAAATCACAATCTGAGATAGAATTTAGTTGTCAGCATCTTATCACACATTCTTTCTCTTAAAAAAATTGGCAGAGCAGTAAACTATACTTCCCACATTACAATCATACTGAACATTGTCTACTTGGAACTTGTGCTCAGATAGACAACTCTTAAATAAACATTACCTGCCAATCTGGCTGAAGAGAAGGTGAATTAGCAGCAAGTTTGCTAGAGTTTCCTTTTCAAGCCCTCAATCTCTGCAAAGATATGTTAAGAAAATGAAAATAAGTACAGAATAAGAAAAATAAAAGATATTTCGATTAAAGTTCAAGTCCCACCGCATTTTCCTCTATTCTTTTCTTTTTTTCAAAACACCAGATCAGCCTGAATGGGGTTAAGGGAGTGTTAGAAAACCAAGCATAGAGTAGCAATTAAGACTTCTAAAAGTGGAAGTAAAATATTATACCATTCTCTCATGGCTTCAGCCAGCCGCCTGGGAGTTTACAGAAAGTATTTCTGATTTGCAGAAGAATATGGCGATGATTGTGTTCTTGTACCTACTGAGCAATATTATCTAATTAGCCAATATTAGAAATGGACAAATTATTTTTCACAATATAAGTTATATTCCTGTTGAAAAACAGTAAGAGAGATTGAGAAAATATAATAAATTTGAAATTGAAGCCTCTATGGTAGTCTTAAATAGTGAAAGAGGGACAGTAATGGAACTTATCATATTAGTTACATAAACCCCCAATAATGCCCGTCGATTTTTTATCGCAGTTGTATGGTTGACAATGAAGACAACGATTTAAAAACAAACAATTGAAGAAGAAAAGGAACGAGAAAAAAAAAAGGGCTCAAGAAAGAATTTAGAACAAGAGAATATCAATTTATTTCCTATATTCAATGGTCTATAAACTAAAACCTAAGCCTCTTTATATAAGAAAGGACTTCCAATCTAAGTACACTTTCAATCTAAACAAACTTGTAGAAGATAACATTGAGATAATATCAGAACTCCCAACATATAAAAAACTAAAATCTAGATTAACTCAAATTCCACTTCTTTCTAGTCCTTAGCCTTGAGTAGACTTTAAAATTGTTTCCCTCATTACTCCCTTATTGAAAAGAACTGGACTCCCATGAGGTAAAATTCAGATAGACATCCAAAAGTTCTGTATCCAACTGGCGAAACTTATCTTTAGATATTCAAGTAGCATCTCTAGATGGACAACCTTTCCAACCAAAAACCTACAAAAAGCACCACTGTGTGAAGCAATGATCTCATAGTTGAGCACCTCATCAACAATATCATGAAGAGAAAATGCAGTAACGGGTGCCTGATGGGACGGCCGAGCAGCCTATCTTGCAAATACGTTAGAAGACAAAATCGAAGGCTCGAACGGGGATTGATAACAATATAAATCTACTAAACTGAAAACAAGACTAATATTAAGTGTGTGACAAATCAAGTAGATAAGCGTTAGCTCCAAGCCTTTTAATAATGGGAAAAGGTTTAAGTGATCAAGTACAAAGCTTTTAGCAGCATGTTTTAGAAAATGTTTCGGTGCAAGTCGTATCATGACAAAGTCGCTAACATTAAATTTCTTTATACCTACGATGTGAACTGACTATGACTATCACTTTGTAGTGGTTATTACTTAAAATAATTTTCCACTTAATTTTATCATATAAGTCCCAAATGTGATCAGTAAAAACTTTGACATAGACAATGGGACAAACTAGGAGGCAAATGAACAAGATCAATTGGCCGACATGGGGAGTAACCCACGACGATCTCAAACGGGCTATAATAGATTAACCTATTGACAGAATTGTTTTACGCGGACTCAGCAGTAAGCAACACAAGAATTCAATTACCCAATTTTTCCCCAACTAAGCAACAAACTAGGCTACCTAGACTACGGCTCACTACTTCAATTTGACCATTTGGCTAGGGGGAAATGCAAATGAAAACTTAAGTATTATCCTAAATAATTCCCCCAGTGTCTTTCAAAAGTAATTAAAAAACTTAACATCATGATCAAACACAGTAGTCATTGGGAATTCATGTAGGCAAACTTCTTCGAAGAACAACTTAGCTACATAGGATGCATCAGCAGATTTGGAAAAGAGAATCAACTAAAGAATCGGTCCAGTACTAGATGTAGCCTTTCCATTAGGCAAGATACCTAATATTTATAACGCTTTAGTAGTTAAAGGTACATGATCTCTAGCTGTTTTAGGCAACCTTAGAACAAAATGCATACTAAGATCATGCTAAGGAGTATGAGGGGCGGGGAGAGGAGTATACATCCCTGTACTTTAACCTTCTAGTTGACATGTATGACATTAAGACACAATGCGAGGAACATCCTTAAGCAAAGGCCAATAAAATCGATAGTTGACAAAGGTAATAGTTTTGTAT